CATTTCTGTTTAGAGGACAGAATTACAGTAACAGAGACTCACAAAGCCTAGTAAGGACACTACAAAGCTGTTGTGACTGTTGGATGCTTATTTCTCTTTAGCTGTCACTCCTTATCCTACATACTATATTGGGGAGGGACTTTTACAATCTAATTCAACTACAGCTCTATGTAGGGGTAGGACAAACGATACAATGAAATGCTTAACTGAATGTCAAAGGGCCAGAGCTTTCTCCAATTACTAGTTATATGTACAGTACTTTGTAAACCAGCCTCTCTGCATATATAATTATTCTTACAGCAGCTGGAGCTTGCATTTTAGTCCAAGACAAGTTATTCAACAGTGGAGATAGTGATATTGAACATAATTTTCCTCAATTAAGTGACACCTTACTGTACATGGTACACTGCCCCTCCCAAAACAGGTCCTTGGAGAAGGAAGCATTTTCAGTTTGAACAGGGCTGACTTAGTATTTGGCTACCCATTTGCAACTGCTAGGCCCCAGCTTGGGAGGTTTAACTCTGCTGTTCCTGATGGAGATAATTCTACACTGTTGATCACTCCTGTGACCAGTCTGAACAACATATATTCATTCCAGAAGCCTTACTGAGTGCTGACTTGCCCTCTTGTGAACATGTGAAAATTAGTACAGAGTAAATCAGGAGGACAAGTTAAAGTCACACCTATGTTATTTTGGACTAGCTTTAATATTTAGACAAGCCCAGAGGCACACATTTCTCAAAAATAGTGATTTACTTGGAAGGCCATCTTGCCTCCAACTTTCCCTTTCACAAAATCTGTTTTGCAAGGTGAAAAATAGCCATTATGCCTAGATTTGCAGAAATTTTTCTGAGATATAAAAGTCACTAAGTAAAATGGCATAAATGTTTATCTGGACCATCACTGAAAAATGTTCTTTCACTGCTTTTGTGCAGTTCTAAAATTCTGCCCATTGCAAGATAGCTGTTATTTCTCCTTTTGTCAAACTCAGAACATGTATTGGGTGCAGCAGAACAAAACATTGCAGTTAGTACGTACCATTGCCTTGGACCTACTCAGAGGAAAGCAATGCAGGCATTGGGAGAAGAGGAAAAAGGAAAGAAGCAAGGAAAAGTAGAAACTACACTTACTTTTAAACAGAACTAACATTACTGAAACAAATTTAAGATAAAAAACTGCAATTCTCAAAAAAAAAAAAGTCTGTAAATAAAAGGATTTTGCAGAAATGCTTTCCCAATAGCAGCCTGAACCAGGTTTCTTGTGCAGTTCCATTTATCTACCACATGATGGTGTCCTCTGCATTAATTGTGGCTGAAATTCTGCTCTAAGAACCTGTATTAAGTGGCTATATCATGCTAGAGGGTTTTGTCGAACAGTTTCCTCACACATAAAAGATAAAGTGATCTGGTTTTGTGATGCTATGTTAGACTTAAGAAACTCGATAACACTAGAACACAGCTGTAGATAAACCAGGACAAAGATGAGTCAGAAAAAAGGCATGGAACTAAATTATTATTAGCTTCCTTTTTCCACTCAGTATCTTAATAGAAGACTCAGACATTATCTTCCCTGTCTATTCAGTTACAGAAGTAGGCAGATATAAATTTTCCATATAACTTGTTAAAGGGAGAGAAAGAAAAAGTTTGTGTTTTGACTTGCATAGGTAACAAAAAAACAGAAAAGCTGCCAGATGCTGTACTGTCTCAGAGCTGAAACAAGCTTAAGTCGCATGCAAATTGGAAAGGGCCAAGAGTTAGAATTAAAATTACTCTTATTAAATTTTATACCAGCTTTCTGCTTCAGGCTTATCCAGTCTCAACTGTATAAAGAATGAAGCTCTGAAGTCTCTCTCACACTGCCAAGTCAAGCTGTCAAATGAAATGTAGACAACAGCATCAACTGGAAATCAGTTTTGTCTTAATTCTTGTAAGAATTTCATGTTACTACAATCCCTACTTTTGAACTTGTCAATTCATACAGATATGCACATGAACATATCTGTAAGCAGGCAAATTTAAATGATTAAAACGGGACAGTGACCCTACGCTTGCTAGGTCTTCATACTTTTTTTTAAGTGGGGAAAAAAATGTCTAGTTACTAACCAAGTCAACTAAGTGCTGTGTTGCTCGAGTGTCAGTCAGCATAGCAAAAATACAGCTGTGCAATATAACCGCTTTAAGATAGACACATTTTGTGCATAGTATCCATCCCTGTATTGGAAAAGATGACAACCACTTGCATGGGTGAGAACTTGTTGGAGCACCGCAGTGACTACTAGTAAGTAACAAGTTTACTGGTGAATTGATGCATCTTCTAGGAAATGGAGCTGGGCTGAGCCCACCACCAGAGCTTGCTGTTGTCTGGTGGTAGCTTTAAAATACAACTCATGAATTTGATATAGAAGGTTGCATTAAGATTCATGTTTCCCATGAAGTCTAGACTCTGATAACATTCATTAACAGAAATTAGATAGAACCACTTCTAACTCCAGGAAATATCCAAAAGATTAAACAGAGCCTATGATGAGGAAGTGGGTTTTAGATAGAATATTTACTTCAGAAAATTTAGTTTAGCAGACCAAAGGTACTGCAGGAACACAACCACTAAAATGATAATGGAAAGGATTTCAGTGATTTACAAACTAGTAGACATTGAGAGAGAAATATCTACAGCTCAATTAGTGCATCTCAATACAGACCTAGCAGCTCTTGAGCAACAACCGACTCACATTGAAATGAGGGCCAGATTACATGATAGGTACAGAATAGATTTACACACACTATTACCATGCTTGTTTTTGATAGAGCATTTGAACCATAGTCCCTTAAACATGTTAGACAAATACAAAACTAATAGCTACACATAACAATATTGCCTTTACTTACCATGATGACAGAGACCCCAGCGGTTGTATTGTTCTGTTTGGGTAGCATGTTGTTAAAGTGCTGTTTCAGTTTACCTGTTACTTCAGCTTGCATATTATTCTCCTGAGAGGCATCATCCTGTATAAATGACACACACACACTATTCCTCAGACTTAGGGTAAAAAGAAAGTGTTTTGAAATAGAAAAATGACATGCAAGTTAACAGAGGTTTTTTTTTCTTCATCCTGATTTCCCTGCTCATGTTACGGACGTAAGCGTAGAAATGTTCACATTTTTCTTCTAAAAGATGTCTGCTGCTGAGAAAAGCTCAAGTGAGATCCACCTGGAAGGAGAAACTTTGGCTTAAAATGTGGCTTTTTGTTTTTCAGATTAAGGGAGGACACTATATTAGGAGTGTGCTGTGACAAGACATCTGCTAACAACTCATGCCATTAAATGTAATTAATATGCTTATACACTGCAGCAATGTTGCAAATGAAAAGTAATAGTAATTAAAATGCTGATGATCTAAAAGTATATTTAATTATTATCTTTATTTCCATGTGTTGTGCATCGTAATAAATATTGTATGGACAAAAATAGTTAATAAGTGGCTAAACAGCGGGAGACGATTATATGCTAGAAAATACACTTTTTTCCTTTTTATATTCTCAGAAAACCAAGGTTTAATTTAAATTATTTTTCAAGGTAAACTGTACCAATTTTGCTTAGGGCTTCAGCCTGCAAACTCACAATTACAAACTGAAAGATGAATTTGACAAAAAATGCTTGGCTACTACTGATGGTAGGTAAGATCAGTTCATTGATTACTAATCCTCCACATTTGTATCATAACAGATAAACCTGAGGGGAGTTACAGCCTATAGTCACACAAACCATGTTTAAGTTACGTTTTTGAAAATGGGACCCTACATTGCGCCTCTCCATTTTACACATGAGGTAACTGTACTGTAATCTAAACGCCTTTGACTACATAATGTTTAACAAAGCCAGTGCTGCCATTGCCATGTATGTATTTTATGAGCCAAATTTCAAAAACAAGCACTTAGGTTTGCTTTTGGCAAAGGGTATTAGCGATAACTCATCTGGGATGGAGGGCCCTTTTTGGTGCTTCATGGACTGTAAAAAGAATGAGATCAGAATAGCTACCAATGCCTTCCAGTTTAGTTTCTAGTAGTCAGAAAAAACCTCATCCTGCTCTGCTGGAATATAAAATTGGCATCCACCTACTTGTGGAGCAGTAAGGGTGATAAAATGCTGCTCTAAGTTAACAGCCAACATTTTGGCCAGGACAATATCTACACTAGCTTGTCTCTCTAAAGCATCCTCTTATTTTCACAAAAAAGTCATGCTAGCACATTTGAATGCTCCCCACCTCCTTATTCTTTTTTTTGGAAATTCAATTTCATGTGTTTCTATAACAATAACTTCTGTGCAACAGATGGGTAGACTTCAGACTATACAGGCAGTCCCCGGGTTACGTACAAGATAGGGACCGTAGGTTTGTTCTTAAGTTGAATTTGTATGCAAGTCGGAACTGACCAGCAGCAGCTGAATCGGACACGCCTGGGGCAGAGCAGCTGGGGTGCTGCTGTGTTGGTCCTGCAGCGCCACTCCTCAGCACTACTGGACCAACCGGGCAGCAACCCAGCTGCTCTGCCCCAGGCGTTCCCAAGTCAGCCGCTGCTGAAACTGACCAGCGGCTGGCCACAGGA